GAGGGGTGGCACCCACAGGTGCCAGCCAGGCCTCTTCAGGGGCACCTCTTGGCCAATTAAAACAACAACAAAATGACCAGATTGTGAAGCAGGCCACATGGCAGATCCAAAGAACCTGCGATGGATTTCACTTCATAGCTCAGGAGCAGCAGACAACACGGACCCTTTAATAAACTCAGAAGCAAGAAGGCTCTCCCCTCCCCTTTCAGAAAGAAAATGTAAAACACTGCTTTCCCCTTTAAGAAGGGAGCCTTCTTTTAATCAGAAAATTTCAGGTGGACTTGTGAAGCTATATGATGACATTCAGACTGTTTTGGAAGGGGCTCCAGGCACTATATTTTCTCAAGTTCATGGGGAAGTAAAGGCAAAGATACCCGAATCCTCCAAGAATGTGTGGCCATTCTTCTGTCTCTCTGGAACTTCTACAGGGCCTGTGGGCGGGCCATAAGCTCCCCGTGCCTTTTTATCACTTTTTCTCACATGTGGTTTCAGATATTTGCAAGAGAGTATTAATAATAACAGTAAAAATTAGCTTGTACTCAGGGCGCCCTGGAACACATCTGTAATGGTCTCCACCCAAAGTCTGTCTCTTAATCGTTGTCAAAGGCAATGACAGTTTCAGAACTGTTTCTGTAATTGCAAACTCATTGTTCCTGAGGGTGCTATTGTTCTCTCCTTGGGGGACATTTGTTCATTCAGCAGATCAGGAGGCTAAGGCAGGAGGATTGCAAGTTTGCTGCCAACCTCCAAAACCGACAGAGACCCTGCTTCAAAATAAAAAATAAGAAGGACTGGAGGTGGGATTCAGTGGTAAAGCACCTGTGGGTTCCATCCCCAGTACCAGAAAAAAAAAAGAAAGGAAAGAAAAAAAAAAAAAAAAAAAAAAAAAAGGAAGACATCTGAAGTGCTTCCCATGTGCCCAGCACAGCTCCACAGCTGGATAGGGATCAACTCATCAAATGCTCCTAACATTTCAGGTGACAAGACTGCCACAATCTCCCTTCCATGGATAAAAATCCAAGACCCAGAGAGACATGGTGATTTGTCCGAAGCCACCCAGCTAGTGAGGGGCAGAGCAGAGTCCTGAATCATGAGAGCCTGAGTCCCAGAGTTTGTCTCTTAATCCTGGTCATAAAGTTGTTTCTGTGACTGTGAGTGAGTAGTTCCTAAGGACATTATTTTTTTCCCCTTGGGGACACTTGTTCATTCTGCAAATATTTACTTATCACCTACTACATGCCAGATATTGTTCTGGGTGCAGACTTGATGGGGGACTTGACAGGGCCGCTTTGTCCCGGGAGTGCTGTGTTTCGGTAGAGGAGGCAGAAACCAGGGGCTCATGAATTGCTGCACGTGCCTTGAGATTTCTCAGGACCCAGAATGAGGTTCCTTCCCCAAAGATGTGCTCATCCTGATCCTCAGAACCTGTGAGGATGTGACTTCTTGAGGCAAAAGGAACTTTGACGATGTGGGGTGGGGGAGGGGCAGCTGACCACAAAGGTCCTGATGAAAAGGAGGCAGAGGTCAGTGAGACCTTGAACTTCTGACGTCCAGAGCCTATGAGGGCTCAGAATGGAAGACATTTCTCCTGGGGGGGGGGATAATGTGCCGGAGGATGGCTTCACAGCACTGAGTAAGAGAGGGTGGCACCTGCCTTCCATCCCCAGAGAACATTCAACCAGAGCCACAGGTGCATCCCCAAGTTTACCAGGGAAAACCAGGTGGCTGGTTCCCTAAGGGCTGCACTGGGCACCCAGAAGAAACGGCCAGGTCCTGGGGCAGATGACAATCCTAGACAGGTGGCCATGCCCACTGAGTCCAGATTCATGACATTCAATTGCCCAAGGGCACAGGAGGGAGAAGGGGCTTATTCCTCCAGTTCTGCAACAACAGTGGACTTCCAGACGGGGTGGCTCTGGAGGCCAGGTCTGTGGCCTGCCCTCTTCCAGGTCATGCTTCCTGTCTTCTGAGCACGGGCTGCCTCTCACCTGTAAATGAAGGTGAGAGCAGATAGCTCAGGTAAGGGGCTGTGGGCTGGGAACTTCCTGGGCCCCCAGACCTGTCCCTTTGGACACCTTCTAACACTAAAGCTGCTGTTTCCTGATATATAAGGAGGACAGAATATCAGAGAGTCCAGAAATAGGCTCTGACCCTCATGCTGTTTGTCCATTTCTGTTCTTTCGTCTTTCTGGCTTCCAGCTGCAGTCTTGTTGTGACGTTGGGTAAATTATTTCTCCGTGCCTCAGCTTCCTCATCTGTCAAAGTTCCTATGATCATCTATCTCACAGTGTCACAGGAGGAAGAAATGAGTTACAGGTTGAGCATCTAATCAGAAATCTGGCCTGGGGATGAGGCTCCGTGGGAGAGCTCGCCCGGCTTGGGAGAAGCCCTGGGTCCCTCCGTCAGCACTGCAAGGGGAAAAAAACTGAAAGAGGGGGGAAAAAAATCCAAAGCCCCAAATGCCCCCAAATCCATAACTTTTCAAGCACTGACATGATACCATGCATGGAAAAGTCCACACCATGAAATTTAGTTTTGTATATGAAATTATTTAAAATATTTGTGTGAAATTACCTTCAGGTTATTTATATAAGATGCATACAAAACTTAAATGAATTTCATGTCGAGACTTGGGCCCCATCCCTAACTCATCTCATTGTGCAATTATTCCAAAAATTTTTTAAAAATGAAATATAAAACTTCTTGTCCTGAGTCTTGGGTTAGGGGATACTCCACCTGTATTACGAAGCACTTAAAATAGAGCCTGACACAGCGAGCTCTCAGCTTGACTATAATTAATTTATCATATTTAAAATGTTAATTAGATAGTGTGCGCTATCATTATTGTTGGTTATCACCATTCTCCCTCCACCCGTCTCTGTTTGCCTCTGTGTGTCTCAATGATTCTGCATCTCCCTTTAGCCATCCATGCAACACGTGTGCAATGAATGGTTTTGAGTGGGAGGGGCTCTGTCTCTCCAAGGGCTCCCAGCTGAGAGAGCGAAGCAGGTGTTAGATGAATAAATATACAAGCAATAACATGTGCATCGACTGTGCCAAGGGCTCAGAGGAGGTGTGCAGGACTCGATGAGAAGGGAAAATAGAGAAAGAGAAGAGGTGGGAGAGGGAGGGAGGGAGGGAGGGACGGAGGAAGGAAGGAAGGAAGAAAGGAAGGAAGGAAGGAAGGAAGGAAGGAAGGAAGGGCGGGCAGGCGGGCGAGAGGGAGGGGGAGGCAGGGAGGATAAATAGAGGAGTGAGGACCTGTATTAGTTTGGGAGGGACCAGGGAAAGCCTCTCTGAGGAAGGGACACTGGACACAACCTGAGGGATGGGGGTCCTCTAGGGAGAGAGTGAGGGCAGAGTGTAGAAGACAGTGGAACAGACCACAGTGCAGCCCAGAGGAAGGAAGCAGGGCCACCGCAGGGGACCTGGAGTTTACTCAGGAGCCACATCCACCCAGGAAACAGACTAGAAAGGGACCAGATCAGAATGAGGAGCCCAGCGAATGGGGCGGTCCCGCTGGGCAGGTCTGGCTGGCTGGAGTTTATTGGGGGCAAACCCCTAAAGGGCTTGCTGATAGACTGCAGCCACTGCAAGAAGAATCCAGGGGACCCCTGGGGTTTGGTGGCGCTCCAGAGGGAATGGGAGGCTGGGAGTGGAGTTGACTCAAGCTGGGGGGGAAATCCAAACTCTGTCTTTCAGTCTGTCTTTTTAAACCGACTTCTGAGGTGCTGCACAACCTCTTTGCCCCTGGGCCTTCCTTTGCGTTCTTCTCTATTTCAGTGTCTCTGTCTCCCTGTCAAAAGAAGGAAAGATTGGCAGGACCAGAGAAAGGCAGGGTCGGGGAAAGATCCAGAGAGACAGCGACAAGGGGGAGAGAGACAGAGATGAGGGCAGACAGGGAGACAGACGCTTGGACACTCATGCCTGCGGGCATGCCCGCCGCCTCTGAGGTCTCCCCACTGCGGGGTGAGCTCATGCCACTCCACAGCTGTAAACACCGCTCTCCCCGGATGACTCCCGCGGTCCTCGCCGCCCTGACCTCCGCCTACCCCCTCGATGGTACGGGCAGCTCCCCCCAGGGGTGCCGGGCCCGGCCCCGCCCCGCGCCTCTGGCCCGGGTCCCCAAGCACCGCGGGCCCACAGCGCAACGCCAGACAGAGCCTCGATGTCCCCTGCGCTCCTTCCCCGCTCTCGCCTTCCCCCATCCCTCAGCACGCTGGCCCCTCTGCAAAATGAAGGCGAGCCCTGGACCGCAGCATCCCCCACCCCGCCCCCGCCGGGCTGCTGCCTCCTCCCACCCCCACGCGCCCCTTACTCATTCCCCACGCAAGGTGTGTGTTTAAAGTAAATAAGAGCATGTCATTTCCTCTATCCTCGTGCTTAAAATCCATCACACTTTAAATAAAACCCAAAGTAACCCTAGCATTTAAAGCCCCGCAGGATCTGCGATCTGCCCGCTGGTCTGTCGCCCTCCTCCCGCCTCGCCCAGCCTCTCCCTCGCTCGGGAGCCTCTTCTCCGCTCCATCTCGCCAAGCTCTTTTTGGCTGTGACCCAAGCCTGGCAGCTCGGGGCAAGACAGGTGCGATTGCTCTTTTCTGCTGGAAGGATTTGAGGCTTCATACAGCTGGGCTCATCAGGAGCCTGTCCCCCGCTGCCTCCCAGGGCACTTGGCATTCCCTGCAGTATTTGTTGGGATCCAGGCTGGGAGCAGGTGGGATGGGAAGACTGAGGCTCACAGAGGTGGAGTCCCCTGGCGAGGTTCCAAAAGGAGTATTGGTGCAGGCTGGCTTCGGGGTGG